CACATCGACAACGTATCCTTAGTATCCTTCCATGAGAAGGGAAGGATACTAAGGATACTGAACTACAGTTGGCACTCCGGTGCATTATTGAGGTCGGCGGCCGCCGCCGCCCTGTGACCTCGCGCCCTCCGGGTTGTCGGAATATAGCATAGTCAAGAGTCGTTCTCTACTGTGCTCGCCCCTTGGCGGTCGGCCGAGGCTCCGGCGATGGCGGCCCCTGCCGCTGCTGTGGCGGAAGGGCGGTGTCGGACGAAGCTAATGACCACTACGTGGTCTCGGCGTTAGCCGGGATCTACAAGGGTGAGCGCGGTCTGGTAATGTTAGCCCGAGTAAACTTTACCTTTCTCTAACTCTTCTTGTTTGTCTCGGGACCAGATCGACCGCCATACAGAACAGGACAGTATCTAGAAAATCGCCATGTATCGCTCTTTTACTGTCGTCGAAAGGGGGCCTTGTGCTTCGCGTGCACTGCTCTCTGTACGATCAGGGAGCGGGATTGGCGCGCGGGGAAAGGGAGAGAAAGGATAGTATGAGAAGGGAAGTAGAGGGGGGGGTGAGTGATCCGGCGTTGCGCCTTCAGGGGTGAGAACGGGCTCCGGCTTGTGCCTTCGCAGACTAGAGTAGCGTAGAGTTGCTTGCTCGAGTTGTTTATTGTTCTGTCTCTCGGCGTGGGGAGCTCGGACGTGGGCGTAGTACATATAGGTCCATGTAAGCTTGCCGTCTGCGGGGACGGTAAGCTTACAGCCCATGTTCTGTAAGCACGCGGGATATCAATACCCAAAAAGGTGCATGCACCTTTTTGTGCGGTGTTATCATATCAAATACGCCGTACAGTATATATGCGCGTGCGCGACACTCCCTCCCATGGGCGTCGGACCTTCCGTAGTTGACACGAGATGGCGCCACAGCGGAAGCGGAAGCGCAGGGGCGGTCGACGCCGTAGTGTCCGGGAGCACGAACAAGCGCCACACCAGCAAGTATCCCGCGCACCGGCGTCCCCTGCACAATCATCCCACGTTTCTACGCCTCGCGTCTCACCACCGCGCGTCTCATCTCCTCGCGTCGTGTCGCCTCGCGTCGTGCCGCCTCTCGTCGTGACATTATACGACCCGTTCGTTCGCGCTCCGTCTGTATCGCTGTCGGACAGGTATTCATGGCTACATTCGACGCCTTCGCTTTCGTCGCGGTCTTCGTTATCTTCGCGCGCTGTGTCTCCGGGACCTCCGCCGTCGCGAGCTTCATCGTCATCCCGCGCCTTCTCATCTCGAAGTGCTGCGTCCCGCGCAGCATCGCTGCGCGGGGACGCGCCTTCGACCCCGCTGAGCGAGGCTTCCACGGCAGTTAAGGCGGCGGAACCTCTACCCAGGATTGAGCTGCGGGACGGCTCTCCTGTGGTACAGAGTGCCCCGCCTGGGGTTGCAAAACCGACTGCCGTGTATGAGGCGGCGGGGAGATGGTTGGTAGAGGCCATGGTGGTGGGTGAAGGAGAAGCCGGCAGTGGCGGGGCCAGGGGGATGCCGGGCGTGCCGTATGCGAGTGCGCAGGGCACCGCCCCGATGGAGGCGTTCCACGCCGTGGAGTGGGACGCTAGAATCTTCGAAGGGGTTGGCGAAGGTGAGCTAACTTTGCAGACGTACCCGTTGCTGGGGTCGCGGGCTGCAGAGCGAAGCCAACCCTGGCCGCCGTGCGTCGTGCCAGCCCGGCGTAGGGCTGCGTCAAGGCAGCTTCGGGAGGAGGAGGTTGCCAGGCACGTCCTAGAGTTCCTGCGGCGGAACCGGGGCGTGGTGGTCCGGGTTTCTGGCATTGGCGCACGTGAGGGAGTGGCTTGGCGCTCGTTGAGCCGACAACACCTCCCGGGGCAGCCAAGGTGCAGTTCCGGAACGCACGACTGTGTGAAGGCGGCCGTGATAAACGCTGCGTTCGCCTGCCGTGGTCTCGTGGCAGCGGAAGCGTTGGAGCAAGTGCTAAAGAAGGAGTCACGGATATTACACAACTTCAGGGAGCTAGGAGTACTCTTTCAAAGGGCGCATGAATCGGTGACTGGCTGTCGCGTGGTGCGTGACGAGGAGGTTCAGAAGGCGATCCAGGGCGGCGAAAGGATAGCGCCCTTTCGTGTACTTGCAGCCAGGCGCACAGGGGTCTTCATCGTGCGGATTCTGGAAGAGAAGCGGGTGGATCACGCCCTCGTGGTGGATGCTTACAATGGGGTCATCATTGATTCCGAGGAACGAACGGCACTTGTGCTCTCAGCTGACAATCTTGCTAGATGTGGAGGTGACGGTGCAAAGAAGCTACGAGTGGTAGAGGTACGAGAGATAAGGGGTAGGAAGGGGAAATAAAGCGAGCTGCTACGGAGGAGAGGGAATGGCGTTTAGACTTAGTTGCGAATGATCCACTGCTCAGGGTGAATCGAGAGCATGCCCGTAGATACAGCGGCTTGTAGAGCAGCTTGAGACATCGACTTGGTCAGGCCGTCCGCGATGTTACTCGAGCTACGAATAAACCCAATGTCTGAAATAACCTTATCGCGGAAACCTTCTCGCGCAGCTGCGATATCCAACATCGTGCGCTTCTCTGACGTCCTAGAACCCTTCGAAATCACATCAAAGAGGGACTTAGAATCAGTGAGCAGCTGGACCGGGATGCGACGGCCATAGATCTCGCCGAGCTCAGAGGCGAGAGTGGCAGCGATGTCGAACAGGTCACTGAAGGCGATGACCTCTCCAGCCATGGCAGAGCGGACAACCCGTTTAGACTTGTACGACTTGAAGCTGATCGGTACGGAGCGGCCGTGTCCATCAGCAAGGAAGCAGATATGGCCAAGCTGCGTGGACAGGTCGTGGTTGTTGGCGAAGGAGGCGTCGGCGAAGCCGATGACGCGAAGGGACTCTTGATCGAGGGTGGCGATCTTGAGAGAGACGCGGTGGTCCGTGGCGTATCGTGTCGCTCTGTTGAGGCGGCGGACAATCGCGGGCTGCTCGGCAAGGAAGCGGTCCTCAGTGACCTGTGCAAGTTGAGAGATCTCAAACTGGCAGTCCGGGCGGGTGTTGGCAAGCCACGCAAGTCTCATGCGCATCGACCGGAACTCTGAGAAGGAAGCGTCGAGATGGAGGCGCTCCAGTTTCTGCAGATAGAAGTGCTGGTTCTGTTCCAGGCTTCCATCTTTGCTGCGCGCAAGCGAGAAACCAGAGAAGGTGCAAGGGATATGCTCGTCCTCGCCCATCTGGAAGCGCTCGCTGGTCTTCTTTGCCAGTTGACGGAAGCCAGGAGAGCCGGCGCGTAGCAAGTCGTCAACGTATCCGCCGCTAAGGCCCATGAGGCGACCATTTGACATGATCTTGTAGAGAGCCGGGTCAGACCGAAACGGGGTCATGCCAAGGTCATGTCGATGGTGCTCGTCTAGGGTCTTGTGCCAGAGGTCTCCGGAGTCACAGAGGCCGTACAGGGGTTTGAGCAGCTTTAGACACTGTTCGGGTTGTAGCTCGAACTCAGGGACGGGCTTGGTGATGAAAAGCTCTCTAGAAAGCGGTTCGGCGGACTGGAGGTATGCTTGGCGGACATCAGAAGACCAGATGTCGAAGCCGTGAATCGAAGCGAGGGCAAGTAGGAGGCGAATGGATTGGGGCTGTAGCGTGGCCGCACTGTGGACCATGAGGGCCTTCATGCGGTCGCGATGTCCACCTATTACGTACCGCGCCTTGAACTTGACTTGACCGTCTTCTGCGGACTTGATGGCAAGCACAAAGCGGCCTGGTAGTACGTTGCCGTCGGGAGGAACCTCTTCTCGAAGGATGACGCTAAATGTCCCGCGGTCGAGTAGCCCGCGAATCTCATCACGTTTCGCTTGGGACATGTCCGAAGAAAATGCTCGGGGGTCCTTTGGATGAATGACTTCGGTTAAGTGAACGCAGTCATCGTCATCACCCGGAGACGAGAAGTGCGAAAGGCCACGATGAAGGTCGGCAAAGAAGGAGTGGGCGCCATCCATTGGGGCGATATAGCGCTTGACTTGGGCGACATTGAAGGGGCGAGCCGCACCGATCTTGACATCTTGTATGTATATAAGTTTCTTGCTGGCGTCCATCCCGAGTACCGTAAAGGGACCGAGCCATTCGCCAATGCGGTGATTGACGATTTTCTCACGCCAGACTAGGACTTGATCGCCAGGGTCATAAGCGCGGTTTGCAGCAAGTGGCACAGAATGTCGCAAACCTCGTGCAACGCGTATCTTAGCCATGATGCGCTGCATCTCAGTGCGGGCAGCGTGAACCATCGCGGCACGTTCCCCAAGAGTATCTCGGGGCTGAGGCGTTTCCGAGGCAGTGTAGACGCGAGGTAGTTCTCCGAAGACGAGGGACGATGGGACGAGGCCTTCTGGTCCCAGAGTGTCGTTCATGGCCTTGATAGCCATCTGAAGGAGGAGCGTCTTGTCCACGTTCGGATATACGAGCACCATCTTGCGGAAGGTGGTACGGACTGGTTCATGATACCGTTCCCCGATTCCAAGGCTTGAGTGCGCTTCTATTCCCGTGCCTTGAACTTCTACGTTTGCTCTTGCGGCAAGGGAGACGAAAGGCTCGCTTTTGCCGAGGTTGCTGCCTTGGTCGACCAGTATCCGATTGGGAAGACCGGTGTAGATCGAGGCCCAACAGCGAAGCAGGGTGTCCCAGATTGCCTTGGTGCTAACATTGGGGAGGAAGCGGGCTGCTGAGAAGCGGGTCGACTCGTCAACGATATGCAAGATGGGCATGGAGTCGATGTACATGATATCCATCATGATC